AATTTTTCAAAATAAACTTCTTTTAAATCATTATAATTAGGTCTAAAAATGCATTCTTTTCCAAAACTAAAATTCTTTTAAATTCATATATATTTTTTCTAAAAATGTCATTTATCAATATCCATTATGTGAATCATATGTTTCCCCCAAACAAACCACGCAATAAATACGACACAATGTAAACTATGCAAATCAATTCATAAAAAATCGTAAATAATCAAACTACGAAACAGTGATGAGCGGAACGAATCTTGCACATAAATGATCTACAATAAATATAAGACCGGAACGAAACTAAACAAGATCGCGGATCTTGCCTCGGTTCGTCAACGGCATCGGACCGTGACGGTCTTGCGATGCGTTGGATCGGAGCTGGGACCTGTACGGCGAGACGGGTTTGTGGCAGCCGACGACATGGCACGGTCAGCGGGCGTCGGGCGGCCAGAGGTGGTCGTGCTTGGCAGGCAGAGAACGGCGCGGGCTGAAGGGGACTGCTGGTCGCGACGGAGACCTGAACGGCCTCAGCCTGTCGACCAGCCAAGGCGGCGGCAGGTGGCTAGGGCGTGGAGCCTCAGCGGAGGCATCTGGGCAGGTGGCAGGTTTGGGTGAAGGAGGACAGGGGTGGTTGCGAGGGCGATGACAGCTCAGGCGTGGGCGCGACGCCGGACAACGTGCGAACAGGCGGCGTGAGGCTAGGGCCGGTGCAGCGCAAGGGCTTCGGTGGCTGCAGCGCGTCGGCAGACAGCCTCAAGCGGGAAGCATGGAAGGCCGGTGCACGCTGGGCTGGCGGCGTGACTCGGCACGGCCGTCGGACTGGAGGCAGCGAACGCGCGGGCGAGAGAGGAGTTGGCGCGTGCGTTGCAGAGCGAGGGAGATTGAAGAGGCGAGCGGCTACAGCGGTTGTCATGCGAGCGGCGGCCAACCGCGAGGGTCGGCTGGTTGGGTCAGGCCACGGCGGGTGGAGCCGACGCGAGTCGCGGCGTGAACAGGGCGGAGCTGCGTTGGCGCTGGTGATCGCGTTCAGAAAAGAGCAGAGTGCAGAGCTGAATGATGGTGGGGGAGGCGGCGAGAATGAACAGGAGAGGGGTTGCATCTTAATAACCATATATATATTAATATGTAGGGTTGTAGGCGTTAATTATTTTAAAACGCGAATTAATTAAAACGAAAAACTACTGGTATTTAAAAATCAAAGATAATTATGGGATAAATATCTACAATTAAAAACGTACATGTTGTGGTAATATAACAGTTGAATACGGAATAGTCAAAATATACACAGATTGTAGAATTAAACAAGAAATAAGTTAATAATATAAAAATTATATTTACTTACATTTAAAATCAAATATTATGCAGACAATGATATACACAGAAAAGCGTACACAGTTATACTAATACGCAGCGATACAATATGCTAACAGTAGAAATAATTAATATTATACAAAAACACGTATTAATAATACCATGTATTATCATGAAATAATGTTAATAATATTAATAAATACGAATATATATTTAAAATATTACGTGAATAGTACATAACACAACAAATTAATTCTAGAAATTTTACCGCACAAAAATACAAATTTATTAAATACCAAAATCATTTAAATAAAATATAATCAGATTTTAAAATCATTAGAAAAATTGTAGAAAATTGAGAAAAATTACCAAGATATTCTTTTATAAATAATAATTAAATATTTTAAAATGCTAGAAATTTATTTTAATTAATATCAAAATTTCACGGTCATTACACATTCCCTAATATTTTTTTACGATCCGCTCTGTTGAACTTGATCTACACGTTCTTAAACTCAAACACACTAATTTTGGGGTGAACCCGTCATGTTTTGACCCTTCATCCACCTTACAAGCAAAACAACACAACAACTAAATCCTTCTCCATCCGTTACAATCAAACATAAACAACTACAAAGTTAAATGTGCTCTGCCCCCAGCTACACAGAAATCACAAACTAGAATTACATGACCTTCAGAAATAAAACCTTCAGAAAGCGTCTATACACAAAATCATATCTAAAAAGGACAGAACTATATGTAAGAATAAATTACATGAATAACGGTTCATCTAATTATCTCGTTTCTCAAAGGTTCATCTAATTATCTCGTTTCTCAAAGGTTTAACAAAATTCATATTCAAGGGTACAAATACAGGTTTGATGTACATAACTCTAGGTAATTCACAACAGCTAAGAGTTGATCTCTTTTTGTTCCTTCTTTTTTCCCCCTTCTCCCTATTTATTTACTATTCAACTCCAAAAAGAGAAATGTTTAGTTAAAAATAGAAATGAAAGCTGCAGGATATAATCAAACTCTTAAAATACCCAGCTTGGCATGCATGTGAACATATTTACGAAAGATGCTATTAAAAACAAATGAAATGTTTAGTTAGAAAGCTCTGAGGCTTTGACACAATTTCCTCACTCACTTAATCTTCAACTACGAATCAAGAAAGCCAACATTTAGGCTTATATCATCCCCATCTTCACTTGATACCCAGCTAGTTTTTCTACCCTAAAATGTAAATACTTTGCTATCTTCCTCCAACAAAATCAAATACACCATCTTCAAAATCTTCCAACAAAAAAATAAAGACAGAGAAAAGAAAACCTACAACCTATTAGATTTTTTTCTCAGGCTTTTTGGGGTTCCAACGTAAAGTTTCAAGGAAAAAAAGCATCCATTTCCAATCTTTTAATATCCTAAAGTTGACCCGTACAACATTCACGGCAACTCCAAATCTATTCACCATCAACCATTCTAAATTTAAACTCAAGTGTCTAAAATATGATAACTTCCCATGAAAAATCCTAAACCAAGGTCGAATTTTCCTAGATTTCTAGCTTTCAATCGAAGCAATTCATGAGGAAACTATATAAATTGGACAAGGTGGATGGAGGGGGATGGATCAAAACGTTGCCAGATCTCTTGAGGTGAGCGGCGTCGGAGTCGTGGCTGGAGATCGGCCGACTATATATAAAATCGATATAATCAAACTCTTAAAATACCCAGCTTGGCAATCACACTTTGGCCTCTTACGGCTGGGGAGCTGGAGTTAGGGCTGGAGTTGGGAGATCTCACGACGGAGGAGTTGGCTCGAGGAGGAAGAGGGCCGAAGGCGGAGGAGGAGGTCGACGGCGAGATCGCGAAGGAGGAGCTGAAGGCGTTGGTCATTCGTCGCCGGCCCCAAATCAAGGTTTTCCGATGCTTGATTCGTCGGCGAAACCGCGGAGGAGGAGGAGAGGAAGGCTGGATTTGGGGCTTGATTTTGGGATTTTATTGAGGGAGAGAGCGCGGAGGAGGAGGAGAGGAAGGCTGGATTTGGGAATCGATTTTGGGATTTTTCCAAAGGGAGAGAGAGAGACTCAAAATGATCACGAGCCTTTACTAACACTGAATCATCGTAGGATTTTTGCAAAAAAGTTCAGAAAGGTATGAATGCGTATGCATTGATGTGTATAGGAAATGTTCTGTATATATATAGAGTAAGACTCCTATCAACTTAAGTTGATGTCCACCAAACTTCTTAGTCAGTCATTTATTAATATAAAAAATCTTTTCATATCATGCAAGGATCCCTAGGCAATATGAGTGGCTAAAAAACTTGGTGGATAACTTTTTGCTATCCACTTAAGTTGACACAAGTTTTGCTCTCTCTCTCTCTCTATATATATATATATATATATATATATATATATATATATATATATATATATATATATATATATATATATATATATATATATATATATATATATATATATATATATATATATATATATATATATATATATATATATATATATATATATATATATATATATATATATATATATATATATATATATATATATATATATATATATATAGATATATATATAGAGAGAGAGAGAGAGAGAAACTTATGTCAACTTAAGTGGATGTCCACTAAGTTTCTTAGTCATTGATGATCACTTGATTGAGCTACATTGTGGATGATCC